GCGGTTCAGTTGGATCCTGCTTCTTGGTCGGAAAGAGCTTCTATGCCGGGGAACCAGAACGCCTCCTCCATGCCACTGAGCCAGGCCCCAAGCTCCATGGGACAGAAGCTCCTTTATTTGGGAACTTGCCTTGTGTCTCTCTCCATGTGGCTGTTAACTTGTATCCTTTACAGTATCCTTTCTTAAACTGGTAAATGTTAAGTGTTTTCCTGAGTTCTGTGAGCCACTCCAGCAAATTAATTGAACCTTAGGGGGAGGTCGTGGGAACCCGCTGGTGTTTGAGAACTGCTTGGTCTAAGTATGTGTGGGAGGACCCCCTCCCACACATCCTCACACCCACTGGAATCAGGTCTGGGAACCCTAATGGAGTTACACTACTATTACTGCTGTGTATAATATTGTTACTTTTATACATACATGTAGGGGAGAAATACATCACCGCATTTGGTGTCAGAAGAGTGGAGATCACGGTCTGTGTCCAATTTCCCTCTTCTGATAAGGACACTGCTCACTGCATTAGGACCCATTCCACTCCAAGATGAGTTCATCATGATTCTATCTACAAGACTCTATGTCCACATAAAGTCACATTCACTGGTTCCGGGGATTCTCTGACTTAAACATATCATTTCGGGGTCACAATTCAACTCAGAACAGGGCCCTTAATATGGACTTGGACTGTCAGGGCAGGCTTCCTGGAGGAAGTGAAATTGATCTTTGGAAGCAAGGAGGAGTGGACTTGCTTCTGAAAGAATGAGGAGGGACAAGTATGTGTGAAGTCATAGTATATGTGAGGCTATAAAGGGCACTCAGTCTGGCTGGGGAAAGTAAGAGTGACATGGATGCCAATAAACATGGGCTGGGTGGCAGAGGGCCCTGCATTACATCTTAAGGGGTTTGGATTCTATCCTCAGGGTAATGGGAAGACTGAAAACTTTTATGCAAGATACTGACATGGTCATCTTCATATAGAAATATTGCTCTGTGGCTACATGGAGAATTGACAGGAGAGGGGCAGCCCAGGGGCTGGGCGACAGGTGAGAAATCCTTTGTCGTGGTCTAAGGTAAAGAAGATGTTGGCTTAGACTGTGGTCAGGGCATAGGAAATGAGAGAAGTGGATGGAGATATTTATGGAGCAGAATCAATAAGGCCACATGGTAGAAGGGACATGGGGATGGAGGAGAGGGACAGACAAGGATCTCAGGCTGCCCTCGAGGCCAGAGAGGATAGAGCACCCCTCCCAGGGGAGCCTACACCAACAGGGAGGGGGTCCCCCACATAAGGAATTCACATCAACGTTTTAGACTTTGATGTCAAACACACACAGCATTTACATAGTGAGAAACAAAATGCCCAGAGGACACGGGACCTGTCTGTCTTCAGAGAAACTAGTCAGGCTTCCATCAACATGGAGAAACCATAGATGGTGACATTATCTGAGGAAGAAAGCTTAAAAGGGGAATTGTCCTATCCAGGGCACTACCTTTAAGACTAGGGCTGGGGGCAGGAAATTCTGCATAGGCAAGCAGGGCTGGGAAGGGGTTGTGGCAAGCGTTCAGAAGAGACACTGGGCCTCCATCCCACCTGATCTTTCTCTGGTCTTGAGCTCAGGTCATCCTCCCAACCCCACACCACTGCCCACCCACACCTGTTCCCCCATGTTCTGGACTGGTGATTTCCATGTCATGCCTGGCCCCAGCTGGCCTGGACTGTCTGCCCCTTGACTGTAGCCTCTAGGTCTGCCCAGCTCCTGGGACGCTTCCCAGGCCTCTCAGCCTGGCACAGGCTCTCACTCCCATCTCACCAGTTGCCCGAGCAGCAGCTGATCCAGTACATCTCTCAACAGAAAGCACCTGACCAAGAAACATGGAAATGCAGTGACATGTTAGATTCTGAGAATTAGTGGAGTTTGGGACACTGGGTGAAGACCCTAGGAGAGCGAGAGTTGCTCTTTATGAGGCCAGGCGCTGTGCTAGGTGCTTTGTAGGCATCATCTCATTTGATCTCCACAACCTAAGTATTATTATCTGTGTTTATAGGAGGAGGAGAAGTGAGTGCACCATAGTCACACAACTTGCCCAAGGTTACACAAACAGTGTGTGACAAAGTCAAGATCGGAACCCTGTCTGCCGGTGCTAAGGACCCTTCCCTTCCCTGCCTGTGGCTGTCTCCCTCAGGGGTTTTTGTGGCACCTTGTCCCCCCGTGACCTCAATAGCCAAAGGTAAGGTGGTCCTACACCAACATCAAGCCCACAGGAGGCTCACTTGAAATAAAAAAAAAGCAAAACAGAAATGGATTTCTGATACAGAAATTATGCCAATCATATTCCTTGTGTCATGCCCACAATCATAAAAGGTCTGTGCAAGGCCTTCTCTTGTTTATTGGTTTTTTCCCCCGACTTTTCCTCAGTCTTTACTTCTATTCTTTTCTTCCTCCAGGTATTCACTCTAAAGTGTTTGATGTATGGCCCAATAGACTCATGGATCCTTGTAAAATCTAATGTTTTGTGGTATGTATGTGTTTTTAATTTATACAAATGGTATTGTGCTATAAATTTTGTTCTGTTTGTTACTTTTTTTCTCTGCACTATGTTTTTAAGAGCTAGTCCTGTTGCTCTCTACCTAGCTAGTTCGTCGCTTCAGATGTGTCCACCGCCTTTCTCTTATCCATTCTGCCAGGCTTCAGCTAACCAGAAATGGCACCTAGATGATCATTCTGGTGTACATGCCCCATGAATCTGTCCGGGAATATCTCAGGCTCTACATGCAGGAGACGACTCCTGGGTTATAGACTTTACACAAACTTAGTTTCACTAAGTATTCCTATATAACTTTACAGAATGTCTTTACCATTCTATGTGGTCACTAACAAGGGCCCGTCTCTATTTTTTTTCTCCAGCACCTGGTTTTATCCACCCTTCTAACTGTAAACTTACTTGAGATTGGTTGGCATTCAAAGGATGGGATTCTGAGACCACAGGGCTGAGCCAGTCCACTTTCTCAGGATGGCAACAACTCCTTGGCTGTTGGCCTCAAGAAGTGTCCATGCACTTCCCCTCCCTGCCTACAGCGTCTGTGGACACCCCTCTTTCTCTGTCGGTCCTGATTTGTCTAACCCCATTGAATCAGTCACCCACCATCATGGGTAGAAACTCAGAGTTGTGCTTTCTGGTGTTCTTGTGTCTGGGGATGTGCCCACCATGACAGTCTTCCTCTTATCCCTTGCTAAACTGTCTCCAAGTGTGGCTGGGCTCCATCTTCATTTCTAGTGCCAGTCCTTCAGGGAAAGACCTACTGCTGTTTCCCTAGCTGTTCTCTCAACCACAGCTCCTCCTACCCTTGACACACAAACCAACCTACCTAGGTAGAAATCCCAGCATGCAACCCTCCCTACAACAAGTGATTATTTGCAGGAGTAGAAGAGTAACCTACAGAGAACTTGTTTTTGTTTCCTCACTGCTGTAGCAAGACATAGTCTTAAATTTCCCTGGTGAAAGGGGGAGCCTCATAGGAAGTATCAGGGTTCCTCACCCTCCATCCCACATCTGAGAAGCATGGAACACTCCATTGTGTTTCTAAGGTTGGGTTTCTTCTTGATTGTCCAACAAGCTCCATTGTGAAATAGAGATGTGGGATAAGGCCTCTGTGTCTCAGAATTTGACAAAGGAAGTAGTCTAATGCCAAGAGATACTTCAGTGCTAATAGTAGATTCCTGAGAACCAACTCAGGCATCTGTGAGGGAATCCTATATAAGCTAAAAAGAAAGAAGAGAAGCTGATCTTTAGAAAAAAGAATGAATGAAGCTGAAGAGCAGAGAACAGTAGAGACAAAAAAACATGAGGACTCTGAGAACAGAAACAGAAATTGGGAGAATTACTGCTTGACTACATCGGTTAACTATTGCCCCAAAATGCTGTGTAACAAACAACCACAAAATCTCAGTGTCATATGACAAGTGTTCATTTAGTTTCTGCATCCTTTGATCAGCTAGGACTGGCTGATCTAGGCTGGGCCTGGTTGGTGGTGGCTCAGTTCCGCATGTCCCTCGCTCTCCTCCTGGGACTCGTGGGCTAGCCCAGACCTGCTGCCCTCACGGCAATGGCAAAGCCTAAGAGAACAGGTCCAGTCATGCATTTGCTTTCCAAAGCTTTGGTCACATTTTGTGCATCATGAATTCAATGGCCAGAACAAGTCACATGGTGAAGGGCATGGCAACTAGGGAGAGTGACGATTTGGACCTGTTAATGCAGTCCGCCATCAAAACTTTCAGTACCTGTGAGGCCTGATTGTACTTCCTTTATTTGAGTGTTTTTTTCCCCTTATAACCAAATAATTCCCAGTTGAAATGAGACTTTGGGACAGAGCTTAGGTGACCAGCTCTGCTTCTCCTTTGCATCTTTCTTGTGGCAGAAGTCATGGGGCAGAAGACATCCTGGACTCCTGTAAGGAGAAAGTGGTGCTTTTGGCTAGCCTGGGAGAAATGACCGAGGAAGGAGAGTTGTCCCTAGCAATTTGCCCAAATCGCCACAGGAGAGGGAAACTGTGCTCCCAGCTACAGATACCTTCAGCAAGATCGTCTACAGAGGTAGCATCAGTGGGCACAGCAGCAGGGCTTCCAAGGAAGGGTGTTCTCAGCACCAGCTGGAATGCCAGACAGGGAGGCCCATATGGGCCAATGTGAGGGATACCAACAGCAGACTTGTCTCAGGGGAGGAGGAGGGACTGGCATGAAGTAGCCCCATGGATCAGAATCTGGCTGTTCAAGCTAGGAGTCAGCTTCAGGCCCAAGTCCGCCAGGGCATTGGTGTGAGAGCCAGGCTCCAGGCCCATGACAGAAGGGCAGTCTCAGGGCAGGGAAGAGCAGCAACAAAGGTCCTAGCTCCATGTTCTCACAAACACCTGAAACTTTGCCAACCCAGCTTAAGGAATGAGGTAGCTCCTGGTTTCCTTCCAGGCCTGGCTCCCACTGGCCCAGGCCATGGGATGGAGCTTTCAAATATGTGTGCGTGTGGGCATGTATTTTTATCATTGTTCTTCAATGGGCCTGGGACAGGTAGGTGCTACAGAAGCCTGGGCGCCCAGCAAGAGCTTCCTCTCCCCTCTTCCCTTCTCCCACCTTCTGGGAGGATGGGTACAGTTTGGGCTGTGGGCTGCCACATGGTTAATGCTGCTGCAGAGCTGTCAGTGGTCCCTGGGGCCCTATCCCTCACTTACAACAACTACTCAAGTACCAGATCCTCGGGACTTTTATGGGTGATAAGGAGGTATGACCCAGAACAAGTGTGACTCCCTGACCCCCCATTGAACTGGCAACAGGAGAAGTGAAATCAATTCTGGTAACCTGAGCAGCAGGAGAAAGCCTGCAAGGGGAATGGGAAACTCTCAAGGTTATTTTCTCACCTGCACAATAGGGAAGAGGAGAAAAAATTGAGCCAATAACAACACAATGATTGTGTATTAATACCCACTACATGGCAGGCCCTGGGCTGTAATTGGATACAGAAATACACGAGGTGAGGTCCCTGAACTAGTCCTTGTCTAATTGACATGTGTCTGCCAGCATAAGCTAGGTTATGCTGCAGTAACAACCAATCTCCCATATTTTACTGGTTTTGAACAAAGGTTTCCTTCTCCATTGTGGGTTGGCAGAGCTCTCTGCTCCACATCATCATGCCTATGCTGGATTCAGGTTAACAGAGCAGCTGCCAACTGGAGTGTTGTTGTCTGCCATGCTACAGGGAGAGGAAGATGCTAGAGGGTCTCAGATGGCAAGCGGGTGCTCAGGCCCCAGGATGGGCCCATGTCACTTCTGCTCATAACCCTTTGGCCAGAACTGGTCACGTAGCTGCAAACACAAGAGGCCCAGAAATACAACCTTATCATAAGCCTGGCATGTAGGAAAAATGAAATATTTGATGAATGGCACTCAAGACTGCCAGAGGATGTTGGGAATATTTCACAGAGGAGAAGAATCTTGAGATGGGGCTTGAAGAAGTAGGCAATGAGGCAGAGAATAGGGGAGGACATTCCAGGCTTGTAGGCTTCATGGAGATATAAAAATAAGAAGCATACTCCAGGAACTGTGGGAACACAGTGAAGTTGGATCCCAGGGTGTGTGTGGGTCGTGGAGGGAATGGAGTTAAGGTGGCCTCACTATGAAGCTTCTTGGGAGTCTTGCTTGGGAATTGGGAGTTGATCTTCCTGCAGTGTGCAGGCAGCAGGAATCTCTCAGCAGCACGGTACTGGGGATGCTTAAAAGGGAAAAATACCCAGGAGGATTTGGGGAGAGCTATATTGGGCACTCAGCTTCCCAGTCAGAGGCCTGCAGTCAGCTGGCCTCAGCCTTCATTGTTTTTGTTTCCCTAGATAATGCTTTTTATAACTCTGTAATACCCGACACTTGCTCTTATTTTTTTAAAACCTGCTGCTGTGACTGGGGTGCAGTTAAATTGTCTTAGCTGGGATTCTTAGGGTGAATGAAATCGTGTTTTTTGTTGGGCTTTGGAGGCAATATATATGAATCATATCATTGATGCCAAGAGCGTGGGAACTCCCGGATGTATCAGAGGTCGTTCCCAGGGACCCAGTTAGGGTTGAACATCGCAAGTCACCACTAGACAGGAGAGGGCAATATGACTCTGCAACGAGACTTCTGAGGACATGTGTCTCTGAAGAGGATATACAGCTGCCCTTTCAAGTTACCATCTCCCATCTCTCTGGATAATCCACCCCCCTCCACCGACATAAAGGGAGGAGGCTGGACAGGATGGAAGTCGCAATGTGGAAGGGCTTAACCTAAAATACCTTTGTCTCTAAGTGGATTCCTGGGAGGCACGTTTGAGGCTTTGCACTGAAACGAAGGCGTGTTGGCAGATGGCGCCCCCTGGTGGGGGGACATTTCACCCTCCCTGTCTCCGGCTCGCACACAGAGGAGCGGACTTCATTCCTGGTTCCCAGCAGGGTAAGTGTTGTAGAAAACATTCTCTGGGTCTCTCTTCACTGCATCACCATGCTCCCCCTGGGAACCCTGTCCTTTCTGTCGGTGAGCCGGATACCCACTGGCCACACTTACTAGGGAGCAGGGCTACTGGATTGCACAACAGCATCGGTCTCTCTTTTATTCCATGATCTCTCCCACAGGCACAGCCTACCACAATAAGGAGAAAGAGCCAGGCCCTCTCCTCATCCTCTGTGCCACCCACTCACCACAGCAGGTCTTCCTCTCAAGGAATGCCATCTTTCATCCTGCAGCCCGATGGAGAAGTCAGGTTGGTCCTATGATATGGACCTGGCTATCTTCAACGCATGGGATAGGGAATTGGATGTTCCATTTTGGCCTCAGGTCCAAGCCATTTTCCCCAATGTTGCTGCCACTAGAAAGTCCCAAATAAAGCTAATAATTGGTTCCCATTTTTCAATCATGTGTCCTTTTCCTAGGCTGTGGAGGAATGTGTGATCAGCGCTTGTGATCAGTAGCATGCAGCATTAACAAGTTTCCTAAAGCCTACAACTCACAGGGTCTGTCTTCTCTGCATTGGCTTAGTGCCCTCTGACCATGATTATGGTAAGAGGCTCAGGACTGAACACAAGAAACATCGGATTTGTGTTTTAGAACAGACCTTTGATCAGGCAGGCTTTGAAGGTTGGAGGAGGGGAGTTGGTGATGGGGGACCAGGTAGAAGACTATGGAGCTCATCCTAGTCAGAGGTGATGCCTGGACGAAGTGTGTGAGTCAGCGTTCAACAAGAAAACAGACCTAGTAGGAGGTACATATGAAGACATGCATTGTAAAGAATTGGCCTACATGATGGTGGGGGCTGTCTAGGCAAGATCAAAACCTTCAGCACAGACCGCGGTAAGGACCAGGAGATCTCAGGCATGGGGTGAATCTGCTGCCCACAGGTAGACTTCCTTCTTCCTCAGGGAAACCTCGACTACTCTTAAGGTTTCACTGATTAAGTCAGGCTCACCCAGATTATATGGGATCATCTCTCCCTACTTCTAGTCAACTGAGCGTGGACTTGAATTACATCTGCAAAATACCTTCACAGCAACACCTAGATTAGAGTTTGACTGAATAACTGGGGACTGTAGCCTAGCCAAACTGACCTACGAAACTGACCATCCCAAAGGGCTTTGTCAATTTTCCTTATACCAGAGACTCTGATATATCAAGGACTCATTACAGAAGGGCCCACAAGCCTTTGGCTTTGCCTTCTTTGTGGCCATGATGGCAGAACAAGCTCCAGAACTGGCTTTTTATCAATGGCCTCCTGAGGTAAGGAGGAGTTGGCTGAGGGAGCACAGATGGCTTCTTACGAATCTACCCAGAGGTCCAAAAAAGGATTTACATAGCCTGCAGGCAGAAGCCCCAAAGAAGTGAGCTCCCGTGTTGCCTCTGGGGAATCATAATCCTTCAGAGGGTCTTTTGAGGCTTAGATGAGCTGGCAATGACTTGTGAGCTGCAGTGCACCGCCCAGATGTATTCGTTTCTTTCTCATATAGACTATAAGACTAAATGTCTTCACTGATAAGACTGGTCTTCCTCATCTGCTACCAGTCACCTGTCCTTGCGTTAATGTGCTTGATTCTAACAACATAATAACAAAGCTCAACTTTAAAAAGCATGAACCAGTATTCCAGAAAGTTACATAAAGCTATTTTAAGAAGTGTGGTAGAAATGACATTTATGTGACTCGTTTTGTACATAATCCTGGAAAACGCCCACTTATCTTCTCACATCTAACTGAAATGCCACCTCCTTGGTGAGGACTGCCCTCATCTCCCCAGACCTGGTTCTGTGCTTCTTCCAAGTTGACCACTGATGACTGTTGCCTAGACACAGACTCAGCTGACTGCTACAAGCCTTGGCCGCCCCCACCTACTACTCACCTCCAGCCATCATGACGTCCACGTTCCTGCCTGTCGGTGTGTTTGAAGCCTCACTCCCTTTGGTGAAGGTGATCTGGGAACTTGTTTCCCATGCACCTCATGTCTGTTGCCCCTGAGGAACTGAGTCTCGGGTGCCCACTGCAACATGGAGCTCCTGTGGGTGGTGCACCATGTTTCAGGTGCTGTCTTGAGTGTTTAACTTGGGTCATTTCAGTTAGTCTTTGATACAAACTGTAGCAGCTGACATTTACATATGTATCTATCACTTTCCGTATTCCAGACACTTTTCTAAACACTTGCCACATATTAATTTATGTAATCCTCATAATAAATCTTCAAATAGGTGCTATTATTATCTCATTATATAGATGATAAAACTGAGCTTTAAGGACTTGCCCAAAGTCGTGCAGATTGGTGACAGTTAAGTTCATTTAACTGCACAGCCAGTGCCCTTAACCACCACCTTACATTGTCTCCATTAAAATAGCCTGTATGTTCCTTTTTCTGTTTCACTCTTTGCCACCCTCTACTCCCTAACACACACACACACACACACACACACACACACACTCGGGCTCCTAGGATATCACTGCTAGTTTGGAGTTTGTGGTCTGAGCCTGCTGAGACCTCTCAGCCAGTGGCCTTAGCTTCTGTTCTCCCATCTGAGCCCCCACCCCCACCCCCCATCAACCCCTCAAGAGCCACGGAATACTAGTGATTCCTCCTGCCAAGTCCATGTGCCCTGTACAGCTGGCCCAGAATTCTATTTCCTCATTTATTCCACTGCACTGTCTCTATCTGATGGTGTCTCTGTCTCTTCAATGGTCTGTGAACTCCTTTAGGGCAGAGATACCCACCTTCCTCTCCTCAGATCCTGACTCAAAGGAAGTAATGAAACAGTGAGTAGATCTGTTTCCACCAGTTGGAAAACCACTTCTTTGGACCAGGATGGAAACAGGCCTATGGGGAGAGTCAGGGGGGTTAGAGGGGCTGCATGGGGAGTAGCAGGCTGCTTTGACTGACAGCCAGGGGCACGAAGGGCTGGAGTCTACACGTCAGGACTCTGATTCCAGAATCTGCTCAAATATCCTCTGGCTTCTCTGCCATCTGCATTGTTGAAATTCACTGTCATTTCAAGGGAAAGAACGACAAAGACACAAGCAGCGCCACTTTGAATAGCTTGGAGGAGGAAAATGAGGGAAGAAGAAGCAGCAGGAGACAGGAGGTGGGACAACAAGGAAGGAGAGAGAAGATCGCAAAACCAGTGGAAGAGGAAAACAATACTTTAAAACAAACTTCAAGAGGGAGGCTTGGTGGCTTGACTGTTCAAACCAACCATCACAGGTTAATGGGTTGTAATCACATCTCCATCTGTCTCCAGGGTGTCAGTTTTGCCTCCTGTAAAATGGGCAGTAACAAACTTCCCCCACTCTAAACTCTGTCATGAAGAAGGACTTAGGTATGATCTCAAGAATGTGAGATGACCTCCCTTCCTTTCTATGAAGGTCATGAATCATGTCAAGTTGTTTTGCTGAATTGAGAGCGCTTTGCACTGAGTTGGAGAAACAGTTACTCCCCAGACTTCCAGGGGGCTGTGGAAGGTACACCAGCCTCACACTGTTTTTGGTTCAGGAGGCAATTGGAACAGGGCTAATAGGACTTCATCTCCCAGGGGTCTGCATGTAGGGGTGAGGGTCTCTTGGCAGGAGAAGAAGCTTTGAAAGAAAGCAGGGCTTCAGGGGGTACACTGGAGCAGTTTGGTGGTCTTAAAATTATGGACGATCCTGAAGAACTTTTGTTTATGTGCATTACATTTATTCATATTTAGCATATTAGAAATTCAAACAGAACATTTTAAGACACCAGAATACACAGTACACATTCTATCAGCCCTCACGGCTGTGGCATCATCAAACATTGTGTAGACGCTGGGCAGGAGAACTCCCCTGTGACCTCGGAGGGCATGCACATGGGAAGGCAAATAGCATCTTAGCATGGTTATGAAGAATTTCTATCTCGCAAATACCCTGGAAAGGTCTCAGGACCCCCATGGGTCCCTGAGCCTCACTTTGAGAACCTCTGAACTAGTGACCCACAGACTGTTGCACATAATGGAATTCCTGCTGTAACTCCTCCAGATACCAAATGATGGAGTTATTATAACTATGATTGGATTTCTTGAGCTATGATATCAGCTGATGAGCAGACAAGTTAGAATGGTTCACAAAATTAGAGGAACAAAATTAGGAACAAAACAGAGGAACAAAATTAGAGTGACCCAGGAAGAACTATGCTCAGGAATTTGTAGAAATGACAGGGAGGGTCCCAGATCCACGTGAGCTGTGAAATTTGGGGGTTTGGACCAATCTGTAATCTGCCAGGAGCAGAAGGGCCCCATGTAACACCTAGATTCATGCTTGTTGTGAGCAGCATTTGTGCCCAGGCCATTTGGTCAGTGCCTGCCTTCAGCAGCCCACCTCCTCCCCTTTCCCAGGGCTACAGGAAGCAAGAAGCGGCTGCAATCAAAATGAAATGTCAAATTTCTTAAAACCCGAGGAATAGCTGTAATTTGCAAGGAGACAGAATGCAATTAGCATACACTTGTCAAAAAGGGAGATGGTTCAGTGAGCCCCATGTTGCCTTGGTTTTATTAAGACTGGGCTGATTTCTGTAATTCCATTTGCTTTTTGGCCCATTAATGGCCAAACCAGTACAATAAACTGGAAGTCGGTGGGGGAGCCTTGCTACGAGCAGCATGTATGTTGTGAGCAGCATGAGATGGTCCATGAATGTCTTCCTGAAGGAGAGAGAGGAATGAAATGTTCTCAGGTGCCCTCTTGCCTGGATCAAGGGAAACTGAGGTTCCCAGCCCAGGATCCTTCAGCACTTTTTGTAGACTTGGCTTTTAGAGTCACAGTGCTTTGGGGAAGAAGGCAAGAAAAACAGAGGAGATGATAAATAATAACAGTGTTAGCTTATTAATCTAGGTGAGGCCCTGGGGGAAAACAGGCAATCACAGTTCCCTGGCAGGTCCCAGGGCAGCACCTCTGCTGGGACCATGGCA